GGAGCGGGCAGGGCGAAGGAGAAACTACCAGGCGGAGCGGGGCACAAAGCCAGACAGTACGCGGAGCGACACGGACTGACAGTCACCAACACGACGGGCACATGGAGACCCACTTTTTTCGGGGAAACGACGGCCAGCTGTATAGACTACATCATGATGCCGACGACGCTGGCAAACAGCATCATCTCTCAAGGACCACTCCTCCGCATGGGCACACGGCTGCAACACATTCGTAGCCGACGACATCGAGATCACGTCCCAGTGCAGCTCACAGTTCGTATTCCACTTCGGCAAAGAGTACAAGCCCGACAACATACAGCACGATGGGATAAAGACAAACTGGCAGCGGCAGCACGCAAGGGACTACACGCAGAGTTATTCATCCAGGATCTGGAAGGAAAAGTCGCGAACTACAACGAGCACGGCAAAGGCATAGACCAGCTGTTCCAGAACTTGAATCAGATGATCATCGAAACGGCTCAACAGTATTATGGACAGGGACAACAGAAACCTGAGGAGTACCAGATACTAAGGGACAGACGAATGGAACTATTAAAAAGACGAAGAGACCTTCGAGAGCAACTACGACGCGAAGGAGATAGCCTACTCATCAAGATCGCAGACTCGACCAAGCTGGACACAGCCAAGGTAGACTACATTCCAAGGGAAAATCCGACCAACAACCCCTACGCGCAGAACTCAGACCAGCCAGGAGCAGAAGACGAACTCGATTCCCGCCGCCTACGACTGGACTACGTCGAGACCGAACTCAAGAACATCACGGCTACCTGCGCAGCCTGGCGCAAACTCGAGTACCAGCGGAAGACGGACGCCAGGGTGGAGGAGCTGTACGAGGCATGGGAACGCCGAGATCTTGCACGCGTGGGCCGACTGTCAATATTGATTGCTGGCGGAAGATATGGACCACGCAAGCGCGACTACTGGACGATGGTCACAGCCAACCCCACGAAGCAAGAGTGGACCGATTTCTGGCAGCTCCCAGGTGGATCAGGAGGTATGGAAGGCACAGGACTGAATAGAGAAGAAATTGAACATATTCCCATTGACGCAGATGAAATGGACTATTATGATAACGACATAGAAGAACTTGTGGAGACAGATATGGAGGGCATTGCTAAACGGGTAAAAAAGGCTAAACTCCGACGTGCGGCACCACCGACAGCGGCCCCCAACGAGCTATGGAGAGTGCTCCTTTGTCAGACAGACGAACAACCTCAACAGCAAAGACAAGGATTGGGGGCACTCCAACCACTTCCTCAGCCAGAAGGATTTCAAGACCTCTTCAGGGCGGCACTGGCGGCCATCAGACTCAAGAACGCAACTCCAGTACGATGGCATCAGAGCGCGACAACAGCAGTCAAGAAGAACAACAAAGCGGGCCCTGCAGGAAAAAGGATATACCACATCATGGACCCGATCGGCAAGGCATTTTACTCATCCTGCATGGCTCGACAGAAGGCTCAGACTCACACTGACCAGGACTACGGCTTCATTAGAGGACGACGACGCGAAGGAGCCATATTGGCGATGGCGGTCGTCGAGTATCGGCAAGACAGGCAGGCTTCAATTACATCACGACGATGAAGGACATGTCGAACGCCTTTGCCAGCTGCGCGTGGACAGCCATGGACGAGGCCAACAACAAGATCATGCCAGAAGACTCTACTGAGTTGGGAGCGCAGCGATACCGACGAGCTACGTTTGTCATACCATGTCGCGATCAGGAGGACGGAGTTTGCATCAAGCCACACTGTGGAGGACTGATAGGAGACCCGTACATGGTCAGTAACTTCGTGGCCAGCTTCTCGACGTGCATCAAGAACTGGATTGAGGACTGCAACAAAGAGTTAAAGAACGATGATCTGTTGTTTGGGAGCTGTGAGATATTTCAACATCCAGTTTACTTGGGACTGGCTAAGTATGCGGACGACCTTCGCAAGATCATCCTAGGTGACAAGCACGCAGATGCAGCAGATCTGGCAGCGCAGGCACACAAAGTGGACAACGCGCTCAACCAGAGGCTCGACGCGATCGGGATGCGCCAGAACGCAGACAAGCAGGAGAACATCGTCTACTTCCAAGGACAAGGAACGACCAAAGCACACCAGCAGCTCAAGACGAAGCCCGATTGCAAGCTACCTGGCAAAGTTGTTCCACATGCACGATATCTTGGACCACAGATCAGCCCGACACTGAACTATGGGGCAGAACTCAACAAGCGAATCGCGGCCATGAAAAAGAGTTACAACGAATGTGGCAGCTTCTGGACTAAAGGGCATATACCATACAGGTGGAAGCGAGCGGTCCTCATCTGCAGGGTGATCAACACAGGCCTCTCGTGCATCGAATGCTTCTTGCCGACGCCCAGAGAGTACCAGCAGCTACAGAGCGTTATGGGCGCACTACTTCGGCGAGCCATGCGAGGAGGCGCCACACGTCACAGAGACGGCAGCGTGCGGAGCCTTAGCACGCTGGAAGTATTTCGCTATTGGCAAATATTGCCGCCAGCGGAGGAAGCACTGGTGCGCCGACTCGGATGGTTCAAAAACATCCTTCGCTTCCCTAGCAATCACAGGCAGTTGATCGTAGCACTATTCGGGAGGGTCGAGTTCGAGACAAACGAAGACGAGGACAAACTCAGGACCGACACGAATCCCTGGGCTCAGAGGTTCTTGGAGGACGTCAGATACGCGTGTGGGGTCTCGGAGAGCTACTACAACACGCTAGGCGAGGGCGAGAACGTCACGATAGATAGGCTCTTCACTCTAGACGTTAGGGAACAACTATATCTACTTGATGTTCGGGAAGTTCGGGCAGCAAAACTCGGAGTGGCGGTCCCCCCACCAGGCTACACACAGCAAGATGTCCAAAGAGAAGAGCTAGCTTTAGAAGAACAGAAGCCATGGAAATGTGAACTTAAACACGGAGAAGCAGAATGTGGTCTATTATTCGCAAGCAAGAAAGCACTACATAGCCATATTATTCGAGCACATAATGTACACAACTTAGCAGCGGTGATGACATCAAACAACGAGTGCCTGAATTGCCAGCAAGTAATTACAAGCAAAGGTACGGCATGGAAACATCTGGCAAGCAGTATGATCAAAGGAGGATGCAACAGAGACAGAACAAAGAATCAATATGTTCCGACGGCACAGTCTCCGCAATGCCCTCTCTGTAGTCATTTCTCTCTCGACAAGGGTGCGCAATTCATACACTTACGTACGCATCTCCCGCGACAACTCCTACAGCCGCCAAGAGGGATACGCCATGTCGCTGTTCGACCAGAGGCCATTGGGCCAGGCTCCACCAGGCCCAGCAGGAGGGGGCGCAGTCCGACGAGAGGATCGCAGCCGCCAACGAGGTCCAGTGCTACGCGGACCAGCGGTCGGCGGCGGAGGCAACCAGCAACAGATCACGGAGCTCACGGCGAGACTCACGCTCACGGTGGCACGAGAGCAAGCAGAAATGGCGGCGGCACTCATCCAAACTTGGGAAATCGCCACGTCGACGGGTATCGCTACCACGGCCCTCGGAGCGGGCAAGCACTACAACGACGAGGCGCAGCAGCTCCACCAGAGGCAGCGAGGCGGAGAACAAGTCGACCTAGGCAGCCTGGGCAGCCCGCACGTGAAGGTGTGGACGGAGACGTGCGCCTACCTGGGCAAGCAGCTCGAGGAGGGCGGACAGCTCAACGAGGTGAAGAGCCACTACGAGAACATTATGAAGAACGACACGGAAGCCCTCGCGGACATAGTACCAGTGTTCAGGGTCAGGCGCAACAAGGGCAAAGAGGGCGGCGGGGTCGAGAAGTGCCGATTCCAGTTCAAGTTCGGAGAGAGCAACCACCAGCTGTGCACGGTGCTGGTCAACCAGCTCAAGAAGGAGGGCGCCACTCGCAAGATCGGGTCGGCACCGAGGGGCGCCTTGGAGAGGGAGCTCGGCCGCCTAGTGAACGGATAGTCGACTTCGGCACGATAGAGGAGGCGAACCTAGAGGATACGACCGCACGAGATCTACACCTGAGAGATGAGGAGGAGGAAAACAGTGTTCGAATTCGCCCAGTCCTTCCCCCACAGCTTCCCCAGGCCATCCCACGAGTTTTTGAGAATAGCGCCAGGTTCCGTGAGATAGTCAGGTCTGGACGTCTCCCACCTCCTCCTTCTCAGAATGCTGTGCCCGAAATCTTCCAATTCGATGGCCCACGTTTTCCTCAGTATTTACTAATGCACCGACCTCCCCCCCCTCCCGAACCGAAGCGTAAGGGACGAGGTAAGGGTAAACGGAGCCAGCGAAGCCAACAGCAGCAGCAGAGCGAACGACCTCCGTGAATGCGGGTGCTACCCTGCCCGCAGACCCCTGCGTGGGGGAGGTCGGTGCAGGTCGGGCCCGAGCGTCCACTGACGTCTGCTCTACCAGTTTACTCAGAGAACACAGCTAGGCCGTGCTTAGATTACGCAGCTACTCAGAGCTAGCCAGAGCGTCAGTCACCCAGACATCGGCCCGACAGCTCGATCGATCGATCGATCCTCCCCCTCCTCCACCTCCCTGCCCCCACCCTCGTCCTTTTCGTCGTCCTCGTCTTCGCCGTCGCCATGGGCCGGCCCGGGGTGGCGGCGACCTTGGCCGGCGGGTCCTCGTCCGCCTGGTGCGGCTGGGGTGCAGCCTGCAAAACGGGCAGCGGCGAGGGCGAGGGCGGTGACACTGACCCGCCTCTCTTCCACCTCCTCCTTCTCCCTCCTCCTCCCCTCCTCCTCCCTTCTCCTCCCTCCCCCTCACTCATCTCGACGAGGAGGACGTCGACGACGATGAGGGGGACCCAGGCACCTGGGCGCTGCGAAAAATATACGTAGCACCCCGCCGCAGTTGCGGATAAGAGTGAGGGGGCGGCAGGGACGTCAGGGACGTCGACAGTCTGCGTGGCTCTGAAAAGCCCGCCGCAAGCGCCTGATTCCGCAGTTGCAGATAAGAGTGAGGGGGCAGCGGGGACGTCGGCAGTCTGCGAGGCTCTGAAAAAGCCGCAGGCGCCTCATTTGCACAAATCATACAACGAGCTTGCCGCAGGCGTCGATTTTTTCGTGATGGCAGTGTGGGTGGGTCACGGGGTGGACCGCGGGTGGGTCGCGGGTGGGTCGCGGGTGGGTAGCGGGCTGGGTCGTTGGCTAGGTCGCGCGTGGGTCGCGGGTGGGTCGCGGGTGGGTCGCGGGCCAGGTCGCGGGGGGGACGACAACAACAAACAACAAACCAAACAACACAACAAACAACAAACAACAAACAACCATACAACAACAACAACAACAACAACAACAACAACAACAACAACAACAACAACAACAACAACAACAACAACAAACAGCAGCATCAACAACAACAGCATCATCAACAACAGCCAACAACAACAACAATCATCAACAACAACAACAACAAACAACAGCAGCAACATCAACAACAAGCAACAAAACAAACAACAAACACCAAACACAAACCACCTAACCACAACCATCAAACAACAACACGCAACAACAAACACAACAACAAAAACAACAACCACACCACCACCAACAACAACAACAACAACAACAGCGACAGCAACAGCAACAACAACAACAACACACCAACAACAATAACAACAACAATAACAACAACAATCAGTTTGAAACTGTTCGCCCTTATCCGCTCGAGTGTCCAATAACGCGTATTTCCCAAACCCTCGATACCCGCCCTCTTCGTTTTCGATCGAACCCCTTTTGGGGGGTATACCTTTCTTCCCTGCAGGCCGGGCCCCGGCAAGCGGCGGGGCGGCCGCGACCGTCGGCTTGGCCAGCGGCAGCGCTGATCGGCGGGGCGGCCGCGGACCGTCGACCCGACCCCAAGAGGGACGGACAGGGGACCGACCACGACGACGACGACGACGACGTCGACGACGACGGCGACGACGACCACGACGGCCACGACGACGACGAGCGAAAGCGAGAGCGAGAGAGAACGACAGCAGGGCCACGAAGGACACGAAGTAGGCCACGAAGGGCGACAGCGGGGACACGAAGGGAATGCGTATGTGGCCACGAAGGGCGCGAACGAACGGGGGGCACGAAGGGCAGATAATGCGGGGCCACAGAAGGCAACGATGGGGCCACTGAGGGTAGCAACTGGGCCACGTAGGACAGTGAGGGGGCCACAAACGGCGACAGCGGGGCCACGAAGGGCATGCACATGGGGCCACAACGGGCGCGAACGAGCGGGGGGCACGAAGGGCATACGTATGTTGGGCCGCGGAGGGCAAGGACGGGGCCACTGAGGGCAGCAACGGGGCCACGAAGGGCAGCGAGGGGGCCACGAAGGGCGACAGCGGGGCCACGAAGGGCATGCATATGGGGCCACCACGGGCGCGAATGAGCGAGGGCCACGAAGAGCATACATATGTGGGGCCACGAAGGGCAGCGAGGAGGCCACGAAGGGCTGCGAGGGGGCCACGAAACAAAGCGAGGGGGCCACGAAAAGCTGCAACGGGGCCACGAAGGGCTGCAACGGGGCCACGAAGGGCTGCAACGGGGCCACGAGCGAGGGGGCCACGCAACGGGGCCACGAAGGGCTGCAACGGGGGCCACGAAACAAAGCGAGGGGGCCACGAAGGGCTGCAACGGGGCCACGAAGGGCAGCGAGATCCCTATTCCTAGGTAATCTGTGAGGGAGTCCTAAGCGTGAGCGCGACTCCTGGGTGCCTGGGTGTCGGGAGCGCGGCGCTTGAGTAAATTTCAAGAAATTCCAACGCAAGGGCGCTATTCGTCAGTAAATTGCAAGCAAGTCTCCAGCGAGAGCGCGACTCCAGAGCGCCGGAAGAGCGATTCCGTGTACGGAAGTCCCAAGCGAGAGCGCGATCCCGGAATAAACTGCGAGGAAGTCTCGGGCGGGAGCGGGGGTCCTGGCTAAATTGTGAGGAAGTCTCAGGCGGGAGCCGTTGTTGTTGTAACCCGGGGGCCAGGGGCACAGTTTGAACATCAAGACCTTCCCTGTCACAAAAGCAGGGTGCAAGCGTCGAGGGGCACACTTTGATTGAGAACAAAAAGTATGCACCGGAGGGGGGTCAACAATACTTACTCTTCAGAAACGATAGTTCAACAACAACAACAACAACAACAACGACAACAACAACAACAACAACAACAACAACAACAACAACAACAACAAAAACAACAACAACAACAACAACAACAACAACAACAACAACAACAACAACAACAACAACAACAATAACGATAACGACAACGACAACGACAACGACAACGACAACGACAACCACAACAGCAACAACAACAACAAAAACAACAACCAAAACCACAACCACAACCACAACCACAACCACAACCACCACAACAATCACACCAACACCAGCACCTGCACCAACACCAGCACCACCACCCACAACAACACCAACTCCAACAACAACACCAACAACAATAACACGAGCATCAACACCAATAACAACACCAGCAGCAACAACACTACGAACACAAACAACAGCAACAATACCACCAACAATAACAAAAACACCAACATCTACAACAATTACAACATCAACAACAACCAAAGCAACACCAGCAGCAACAGCAACACCATCAACAACCACAACAATACTCATGTTAAGACTGCTCGCTCCTATCTGCTCACGGGCCGTTCGACACGTTGATCCCAAATCCCCAATACCCGCCCCGCCCTCTTCGTCTTGGACCGTACCCCCTTAGAGGGATCTCTTTCTTACCTGCAACGTGTATTTCGTGCAGCCCTTAAGCAGGGGACGAAGGGGCGGATGGAAGGAAGGACAAAAGGATGAGAGGAGGATGGAACAAAAGAGAGAGCAGGAGGGGGCTAGGAGCAGAAAACAAGTGGCAGAACCAGACGGGCAGATCTGGCGGGTAGACCCTAACAGGCGGGTCGGGCAAACGGGCCCAGGCGGCCGAGTCGAGCAGGAGGGTTGCTGAAGCGTGCGTCCTGCATGAATAGCGAGGAGATCTCGAGCGACAGTGCGATTCCCAAACACATCGCGAGGAAATCCACAGCGAGAGCATGATTCCTGAGTGTCGAGGGCGAGGCGTCCGAATAAATTGCGATGAAGTCCAACGCGAGAGTGCGACTCCTGTATGAATTGTGAGGGAGTCCCGCGCCAGAGCGCGATTTGAGAATAAAGTGTGAGGAAGTCTCAGGCTCAGGAGGGAGCCATTGTTGGTGTTGTTGTTGCTGCTGCTGTTGTTATTTGTGGTGGTGGCAGGTATGGTGTTGTTGCCGCTGCTGCTGCTGTTGTTGTTGCTGTTGCTGTTGCTGTTGCTACTGCTGTTGCTGTTGCTGCTGTTGTGATTGCTGTTGTTGTAAGCCTGGGGTCAGGGGGTCCCCAAGAGAGCCAAATAGTGCCCCAAAGTTGCCCCAAGAAAAAAAAAAGACGACGAGAGCCCCAAGAGGGGAAACTCGATTTGACATTTCGAGCCTTCAACCCCAAGCTGGCCTCCGAGACCGCAACGGGGCCGCCCTCCCGCCCTCCCGGAGGCATGCAGAGCCCCTCAAGGGGCATCCGAGAGTCCTCCAAGCAGGCCTCCGAGAGGCCTCCAACAGGTGCCCCAATACTCTGCGAGAGGCATCTGGCAAGCCTCTGATCCACTGCCCAGGCACGGTGGCCGATTGGGCCAACGTCCAGTATGTTGTGTTCACAGACGCTGCTTTTTCCATCCGAGCTGAAGCCCAAGCCCTGAGCCACCATTGCGATGATCCAGGCGAAAGCTTCAACAACAAAGCCTACGGCTTCCCAGTCCCACCTTTTAGACCCTTTCCTTCCTGATATTTCCCATCGTCGTGTGGAACTGATATACATTATTGTTTGTTGTGGCGAGGTCATGTTTTAACTGTTTGCTTGGTCGAATGCCTTCTCTGTACTGCACGTTCAAGTCGGGCATGTCCTCCGACAGGCGGAAGCTGGACGAAAACTGTAAAGCAGCATAAGTAAGACAGAAGCATCAAACAATCAAAAGAAGCACGCCAAATCGTCACCGAACTTGCTGTTGGCCCCTCTCGAATGTTCCTCCTGCAGAGGGACCTGCCCGACTTACCTCTCGCCTCCACGCGCCGCTCTCCGCCCCGCGCCCTCCCCCTCCTGCATGCGGCTCGGGCACGCGCCCCCCCTGCGCACCCTCGCCTGCCCGCTGCGTTGGCACGCTGGCCCGTGCCGTCTGCCTCCTGCGCTCTGTCGCGCTGCCTGCTCTCTCTACTCTCTACTCTGAAATCGGGCCTGCCCTCCTACAGGGGGATGCTGGACGAAAAACAAACAAAAATATGCAAAAAGATACGCCAACATGGCCACCAAATGCTCAAAAAAACAATTCCCCTGACTATTTCTGGGCTATTTTGAATATTCCTCCTGCAGAGGGACGTGCCCGACGTATTTCTACTCCGAGGGACAAGGATAAGGGGGGGACTGGCACAGGGGGGGGGCGGGGGGGACATCGACCTGGCATCGGCGACACATCGCCGATGGATCGGCGATGGGCCCCCGAGAGCAATTCCGCACGTTCCTGGGCAGGGTGGGGCTGTGGAGCCCCTGTCGCCGATCCATGGGCGACTGGGGGTCGATGCATCCCACCCTTTGCCTATCCCCCGCTATCGTTGCCCCTGAGATTCTCCAGTACTCTCCGGGGTGTCATATACTCTAAACTCTCTCTTTCTTTCTCTCCTCCGCTCGGCAAATTATTTCACGATCTGTACACACTGCTTACTCTCCGCTGTGTCCACCATGAACCCTTTCTCTCGATTCGCTATTCTGGGAACCCAGGAACCTACCCGCCCACTCGAATCGGCAAAATTTGCCGATTGAAACCTGAACAAAGAACCAAGAAACTGGCCACCCAACGAAAATTGGGTGTCCCAAAACCGTGTGGTGACAGACCCGGCGGTGACCTCGAAATCCGCAAAGACCTCACCGCACGGTCCGTCACCATACGGTTTTGGGACCCTGGAGGCTCCAGTCGCCCGAGACATCCTCGGAGAACGACCCAAGTCCCAAACCGTGCGCTGACCCCGAATCCCCACCGACTCACCACACGGTGTGGTCACCACCCCGTTTTGGAGCCCCCGAGAAAACAACGGCCCAAGACCACTAATTCCGCACAATGCCGGGAACCAATTTCCTCGAACCGGGAACCTGGGAATCCCGGAGTCTGGCTGCCAATAGAAATCAACGACCAATTTCAACTGTTCGCTCTCCGAGAGTACCACTACAGTCAACACACTGATGAGAGAATGACACGCGCATCACTTGCAGGAGGGAGCGAACATCGAGGGCGGAGCTGAGACTTCGATTGCCTTTGGGGCTTGCGCTCGACGGCGGGCCGTTCCCCAAAGCATCCCACCCTGGGTCGCGGAAACCCCTTCGGCAAGTCTGCCTCGATGCCGTGGATGCAGGTGGAAGCATCACTGTGGGTCGCCATCGACCCTCGATCCCTCGATCCTGGAGTCGCTTGGGGCCCGCCTCGCACCCGTGACCGGCGGTGGGGGTGCACTTGGAGGTCGCCATCGATCCTCGAGCCTTCGATCCTGAAGTCGAATAGCGAGAGGTCTGGGCCCGGGGCGCCGTGGCCGCGCCCCACCCCCGCGAAGGAGGCGCCTTCGCGGGGGGGCTCTCTGCGCCGACGCCGGGGGGCGGGGCCTGTCGTTGGCGGGCGGGCGTGCTCGGGGTGGGGGGCTCGTCCCTTCCCCTTGTGCCGCCCGCCTCCCTTCTCTTCCGCACTTCCCCTCCCCATTCCTACCCCATCCTCTTCCCCTCTCACCCTCTCCCCCCTTCTTCCCCGCGCGTTCCGCCGCCGTCCCAACTGGAGGGCCTTGGGTGCCGTTGCCAGGCAAAGGCGGGCCTCCCTCGGAAGAACAACCATACGCGCCGACCCGCTACCCAGCGACAGCGAGGTCGGCCGCGCCGCGCCTGTCTTCGCAGGCTTGCGCGGCGCCGCCGCGCAGATACGGCTTGCCGAGGCAATCTTTAAGAGCCCGCCTGGCATCGGCGCGCCAAGGAGCGCCGCAGCCAAGCACGTACGTTAGTCCGCATCGCCAGTGCCAGAGCAGCCCTCGCAAGTCATCACGTCAGCGGCGCAAATATGTCAGCGCCTTGGCAGCAATCCAGCTCATGGTTTTGCGCACACCGTGGTACGAGGCATGCTGCTGGGGCGAGATGGTGTTCTAATTACCTGTTGCCCCAGAGCAGAAGAACGTCGTACTCGACAAGATCGGTCCAAATCAAGGGCCCCATCAGGACTCAGAGGTCGACAAGGCAGCACCAGCACGAGCAAGGACATGTCTCTGCCATCGTCAGATACGCCAGTAACGACCACCTTTCACCGCGTCTCTCGCAGAGGCTCAGCAGCGAAAGATTTGGGTGGATCTGCCATCTGCTCCTGCGGAAAGGAAAGCCCGCAGCTAATGCATCAAATCGGCCATGCAGTCGTTGGAAGCCAGATCCGCTCTTGGGGTCAGCGCACCTCAGCTGAAAGAGCTGAGCACAAAACGCAGCTTCCTGCATTTCATGCATCTATGCCGATACCCAGTCAAGGTCTTCCTACATTACCCACGTCACCGGACGCCTCCTCGAAGAAACTCAGGAGGCGGAGAGGGAAGCACAGAAACGGCCTTCCGCGGCACACCGTCACGGGGAGTCGGTTGCCAACGATTTGCCTCAGGCGCAATTCACGCCCGCAGCCTTCGAGGAGCTGGCCAGCACCGAGAAGGCCAAGAAGGTCACATTACAAGAAAAGAGTCCAGATGGCACTGCTACTCCCATTCGTAGAAAGGAAAAAAAGTTGTGGCACTCCACGCGGATTTCTTGGATCTGCGCTGGACCCCTCCCTGGCGCGCGGAACGCGCCAAGGGCGGCGCCGAAGGCCCCGCCAGGGAGGCCCAGCGCGGATCCAAAAATCCGCGCGGAGCGCCAAAACTCTATGTTTATGGCGCTTTTCCTTCTTCGAATCCAGTCGCCCTTCGAGCCAGTTTCTCCCGCCGCGCAACGCGTCCTCAATCGGCCCACGACTGTGCCAGGAACGTGCTCGACAGCAGCAGCGCCCGCGCCTTCCCCTCCCGCTCTTTCTCCGGGCACTGCGGGAGCCCGAAGCCAAGGCGCGCGGGCAAGGGAGGAATCCTCAGGCTGGGCAACGGGACGGCAGAGGCCAAGCTGCTCGAACGCGCGGCTGCAATTCTAGGTCAGCAACAACTGTCTCTCGGCGGTCGTGACCAGGTTGCTTCCGACGGCCCAATGCCAGAAGACCACGCCGGACCAGAACTCGTGAGATCCGAAGGGCCCCCCCGCGCAAGAGCCCGTGCCTCCCGCGCGCTGGGGGCGACAAACCCACGGAGGACGCAGCGGCCGCAGAAGGAGATCGCCTCCTCAGCGCCAGAGGCCAACAGCTTGTTCAACTCCCCAGCCAGTTGTAGAGGAAGTGACTGTGGCAGGTGCTACTAGGATCCCGTCCAATCATCACCCCCAATTGTCATGCAGCGGTCTGGCGTCATGTCCCCATGGGAACCCGCAGGGGCCCACCGAGGCCCCCTCTACCAAACTTTGCCCTCACAGTCCAATGCCGGACACTACTGAAGGTTTCACTTGTCTCTTTCAGAAGTGGCCCCGTCGGCCCAATCCCAGCGATTGGGTCCTCGCCAAGTCCCTGCACCCCCCCGCCGTTCAGGCTCCCTGGGCTCTTGGGTCTCCACGAGCTCCTCGACATCACGGATGAACATATCTACACAGTCGGGTCTGGAAGATCCACAAGAAGTAAGCCCTCATGGGCTTTCGCTGTCTTCGTCGAGGACAGCGCGTGCAACGCGGCTCTTTGGGGCTTCGAAGATGGCCCCGTGGACCCTGACGTACCCAAGCAACATGTCTCTCTTGCTGCTGACCTCCTGGGGGCTCCACTGGCGATCGCGCGGCTCCTGGCGTCTGAGTTCGCCAGTCCTGGTCACGGGTACCGTCTGCATTGTGGCGGCGCAGAAGCTCTTCGTGCGGCTAAACGATAAGTGGCTGATCCCTCCGCATCTCCTTTGAGGATTGTCCTGACAGTCTAAAGTTGCTACTCACGCTGCCAGACGCATTTCTCGGAACAACGCGGCCGGGCAATCAGCGCAGCCTTGGAGCGAGCTCGCGGGCTGCTGTCGCTGCGTTGGTTTCGGTCGACATAAGCGACCCTCCTGCTCCAGACTCGTTATGCCGCAGTTGTCTTGCGTGGGGGACAGGGCGTCACTGGCTGCGGCTTCGCAAGCCCTGTAGGCGCGCGTGCGCAGCCTCCCCTGCCGCCGCGCGAGACCATGCCGTACTTTCAAGAGACAGCCTCACAGAAGGCGCCAGTTCTGTTTCCACGTGCTCGGCTTCTCTGCTAAAGACACGGCGCAGGAGAGCGCCCGTCAAGCGCACCTTGCATCCTCCCAGCAGCTCATGGCTGCAGCGGCTAGCGTCTTGTCCACGGGCCCTCCAGATCCAGAATGAATAAGAATGCCAGACTGGCTGGGCGCTGCATGTCTGGGAAGATGAAACAATTAGGGGCGTCGTGTGATTCGCGCGAAGACTGGCGCCAAACGCCGATGTGCTTGCTCGCGTTGGACCAACGTGCAGGCTGAGGTGCTCCCAGGAGTTCGGCTGCAGCCCAAGCGTTGCTCAGCGCTCTCAGCCGTTGTCAGATTTCCTTTTCGCGGCGCTGCGTGCAGATTCTTCGGGATGCGACGAGCTGGTGGCGCAGGCTCCACGCGGCCAAAAGCTCGGAACAGTTCTACGCAGTTGGCAGCAAGAGATGCCAAGCGCCCCACAATTGCACAGGCCCCCTGGCATCGAGATAGCGGGACGCCAGTGCTCGCGCCTGTTCGGAGCCGTCGCGCCACGTTGTGCAAGTGGAGGCCGAATTTTAAAAAAGATTCTAGGGGGCGACTTCCACGGGTTCCTCAATGGCCTGGACCAATGGACCCCGCCTTCCTGGGCTCTGGCCAAGCTCCTGCGGCTGCTCGGTCCCATCCATGGTCTCGCGGGCTCTACCTTCGGCGGGCGCATGCATGGACTACCTGCTTCGACGCCATGGGAATGGCGTGTTTTTTTGGTTCTGACGGCGGCTTCTGATATGAATCTGGTTATTCCCACACTGGATCATCTCATGGTGGCTGCACCCATCCCTGTGGCCCTTGCGAAGGGCCGGCCGCCCCTCCTCTCGCGGCGCGCAACGGCCCGCCGGCCCTCTTCGAAGCCTCCCCCGCTCAGCACCACCGAGAGAATCCTTCCCAGCCCGCATTGCAGACCGAGGGAGACTGCCTCGGCAATCCTCAGTTTCCAAGAAAATTGTCGAGCGCATGGACGTTCGCTCTCGGCAGCTGCGCAGCTGCGAGGAGCGGGGCGCGCGCGTTCGAACCTGCAGCCACCGTGAGTCTTTCGCTGTTTGGCAGAACCTCTCAGAAGATGTCGGCAGTGACACTGGTCTGGACAATGACACATGCCCGTTCGCGCTCCGCAGACTGTTGTTTCCAGAGATGGGGAACCAGACGCGCGCGGCTCACACGGCAGCCGGCAGCCGCGCCCTGCCCTCATCGAGCTCAGCCGTTACTCGGAGCAGCGCCTCGCAACCAAAAACCACACCAGGTCCCGCTGGAAATTGCCAACTCGCCAGAAGTCCACATGAGGTTCTGCCGCCTTCGGAATAGGCAGCCTGGCAATCCCACCAGCCCTTTGGGCGTGAGTGGTTTAGCGAGCTCTCTCTGTTCTCAACCCCCCTTCTTCCCCTTCGGGGAGGGGTTTACCCCTCCCCCTACCCCCTCCCCCTGGGCCTGGAGAGGGCGTCTCGCGGGTCGTTGGAAGGGTCTTTTTCGACTCCTGGGAGGGCTAAAATTCGACAACCCTCACGAGGATTCTGGCCCCGACGGGGGGGGGGGAGAAAAGTGCTCGCCCCATCTGTGATCGATCGCCCGACAGATGGCCCCAAGATTCCTCCCAGACCCCTCCCAAAGAGCCCCACGAGGCCCCAAGAGGCCTCCAAGAGGCCCCCAAGATGCCCCCAAGAGGCCCCCAAGAGGCCCCAAGAGGCTCCCCCCAGGCACCCAAGACACTCCTGGAAGCCCCTGGAGCCGCCAAGAGGCCCCCAAGACGCCCCAAACGGCCTCCAAGAGTCTCCCAAGAGGCCCGAAGAGGCTCCCCCAAGGCACCCCAGACGCTCCTAGAAGCCCCTGGGGCCGCCAAGAGGCCCCGAAGACGCCCCAATAGGCCTCCAAGAGGCTCCCAAAAGACATTTACTACTACTTCTACTACTACGACGACTACGACTACGACTACTACTACTACTACTACTACTACTACTACTACTACTACTACTACTACTACTACTACTACTACTACTACTACTACTACTACTACTACTACTACTACTACTACTACTACTACTACTACTACTACTACTACTACTACTACTACTACTACTACTACTACTACTACTACTACTACTACTACTACTACTACTACTACTAACTACTACTACTACTACTACTACTACTACTACTACTACTACTACTACTACTACTACTACTACTACTACTACTACTACTACTACTACGACTACTACTACTACTACTACTACTACTACTACTACTACTACTACTACTACGACTACTACTACTACTACTACTACTACTACTACTACT